TGGGATGATTGTTGGCGCTCGGAGCCATGGAGCGAGTATCAGCAAAACAGCAGAATTCGTTAAATGTTCAAGAGCAGCTGTTGTTAAAGTGTTTAAAGACTGGACTGTCAGCCGAAAATCTGGGTCATCTCGTGGCCCAACAAAGTACTGATGGGGCGGTCATAATAATCTGGCCACTCAGTGTATACAGTCATGGCCAAAAAAATTGGCACCCCTACATTTCTGTCAGATAATGCACCACTTTGCACAGAAAATTGTTACAATTACAAATGTTTAGGCATTCTCATGTTTATTTTCTTTTGTTTGTATTGGTATGACACGAAAAAGTGGAGAGAAAAAAAAAGCCAAATTTGACACATTCCACGCAAAACTCCAAAAACGGACTGGACAAAATTGGCACCTTCTACAAATTGCAAGAAATAATTGCATTTCAAGTTTTTGTGGACAAACATGGACAATCTCAGGGTTACAAGTCCATCTCCAGAGATCTTAATGTTTCTGTGTCCACTGTGCGCAACATTGTCAAAAAGTTTACAGCCCATGGCACTGTAGCTAATCTCCCTGGACGTGGACGAAAGAGAACAATTGATCAAAGATTGCAACGAAGGATTGTTCGAATGGTGGATAAAGACCCTCGATCAACTTCCAAACAAATTCAAGATGACCTTCAGGCACAGGGTACAACTGTGTCAGGCAGGGCCAGTGCAAGGATTTTTGCCTACACAGGCGAAAGTGCATTTTTGCTTGTAACAGTACAGAGAACCGCAAAATATATTGAGGAGGACCATAAACTAACACTAACCGCACTCCCTTTTCACTAACACAAGCTGCACTCCCTATTCTCTAACACTAACTATTCTCTAACACAAGCTGCACTCCCTACTATTCACTATCACTAACTATTCTCTAACACTAACTGCACTCCCTATTCACTAACACTGACTGGTTAAATAATCTGTAGTACAACTACATGTTATGTACTATGGATCATGATTGAGCCTATTCATGTTAGCAGGGGAGAATTGTAAATCTATTGCTGGAGTGTAGTGGAGATGTGTGCTGTATATATGTACTACATATACATTACACACATCCAGTACACTATAGCAATAGCTTTACAGCCAGCCCCGTCCCAGCTTCCCTCACTCACAGTTTCACTCCGATCCTTGGTGCCTCTTGTAGTCGTCGCTGGGCAGGATCTTTGCATCGCGTCTCGGTGCTCAGCTTGTGGGAGGCGCTCACAATTCTGCCCTGCTAACATGAATAGGTTAAATCATGATCCATAGTACATATACAGTACACACATCCAGTACACTGCAGTAATAGAGTTACAATTCTCCCCTGCTAACATGAATAGGTTAAATGATCCATAGTACAACTACCTATTATGTACTATGGATCTTTTAACCTATTCATGTTAGCAGGGGAGAATTGTTCATCTATTGTCTGAAATAGATGAACAATTCTCCCCTGCTAATAATCATTAGTTCTTAATTAATAGGGTCCCCCCCTGCTCTCACTTACTGCTCGATGCCTCACGATGTGCCTCCCTGGTGAGGTTGTAGTCAGCACCGTGCGGGAGAGCAGCAGCAGCGAGTCAGCGCTGGTCCGGTGGGAGGAGCTCCAGGTGGGGTCCTAATTTCAGGCCTGGTGTCAGATCACACTATACGGCGCCTTCTGAATGAAAAAGGTACTCTATGGTAACATAAAAAAGCAAGATTGGACTTTGCCAAAACTTACCTGAGGAAGCAAAAATCCTTTAGGGAGAATGTGCTGTGGACAGATGAAACACAATTACAGCTTTTTAGTAAACCTTATCATTCTACTGTTTTCAGAAAAAGAAACGAGACCTTGAAATAAAAAAATACAGTCAAATATGGTGGAGGTGCACTGATGTTTTAGGGTTGCTTTGCTTCTGCAGGCACTGGATGTCTTGACTGTGGGCATGGCATTATGAAATCTGAAGACTACCAAAGAATTCTGGGGTGCAATGTAGGGCCCAGTGTCAGAAAGTTGGGTCTCCATCAGAGATCATGGGTCTTACAGCAGGACAATGACCCAAAGCACACGTCAAAAAGCACCCAGAAATGGTTTCAGACAAAGCGCTGGAGAGTACTGGACTGGCCAGTAATTAATCCAGATCTAAATCCCATAGAGCACCCTCTCAAAACAGCAGTTGGGAAAAGGAACCCTTCCAATCTGAGAGACCTGGAGCAGTTGGCAAAAGAAGAGTGGTCCAAATTCCTCTAGAGAGGTGTAAGGAACTCATTGATGGTTACAGAAAGCAATTGATTTCAGTTATTTTTTCCAAGGGCTGTGCTACCAAATATTAATTGAAGGTGCCAATAATTTTGTCCAGTCCATTTTTTTTGTTTTTTGTGGAATGTATCAGATTTCTTTTCCTTCACTTTTTTGTGTCATACCAATGCAAACAAAAGAAAAAAAAACATGATAATGCCTAAGCATTTCTAATTGCAACAATTTTCTGTGTGAAGTGGTGCATTATCTGACATAAGTGCAGGGGTGCCAATATTTTTGCCTATGACTGTATGTCCAGTGTCACAGCACAGTTGTGGAAAAATGATGGAACCAGGAGAATTGATATTTGCTCCTTGTATCTCAATGAGCTGGATAAGCCTTTTCTAAGGCTGTTGTTATTTGCTCCACCTCCTTTGCGCTCTATTGATCATTACTTCCATAGTATCTATAACCATAGTGATACTTATAGCACTTTGTGAGCCTATGTGAGATTCTCATGTTGCTACTAGCCTCTCTGTGATTTAAGACGATAACTGTGGAGAAGAGGTAATGGTGGCACAGTGTTGTGTTAGATGTACAGTGAAGGGATAAGTGGGCAAGAGCATGTGATGTGTTTACAGATCATTGTGTATTTTTTTCTTTTAGATATGAATATCACTGGGCTGATGGGACCAATATAAAGAAGCCGATTAAGTGTTCTGCCCCTAAATATATTGATTATCTGATGACTTGGGTACAAGACCAGCTTGATGATGAAACACTTTTCCCTTCTAAAATTGGTAAGCACTTACTTATGGAAAAGATATCTAGTAATCATTGCATTTCCATCTTTCTCTCTCTCTCTCTCTCTCTCTCTCTCTCTCTCTCTCTCTCTCTCCCTCCCCTCCCCCCTCTC